TAGCAAAAAATCTCACCACTTTCCCTTCGAACAGGCAGGATGACCAGACACGGCCCAAGGCTCTCCCCTCACGCGTGGCAGATTGCGGCAGTCACCGTAGGCCTCGGCTCCAGATAAGCCAGACTCAGACAGGGACCACCGTTCTCCAACCTCGCCGGAAGAGAAGAGTGCGAACTATCTTATCAATGCCTTATTTATACCCTAGGTTACGTAAAGGAATAGCATGGAATACTTCCTCGGTCACCTTCCTGGTTCCTTCCTGGTTACAAGCTGGTTTCCAGGAAGGCCTAGACTGAAACCATCACAGTGCCTCAGGCAGCTCTTCCCCAAACCAGGATTTCCTTCAGCTGGCAGACCAAATCAAAGCTCTTGCAGGAACAATTGCCCTGCAGCATCTCCCTGGAGAGGCTGGAGGTCTCTAGCCTGTCTCTTGGAAGGCCCAGGACAGGGAGCACGATGGAAGGGGCAGAGGGGACTCTCTGGCTGGACTTGGCCCCTCCTGGAGAGACTCAGGCCTGGCTGGGCTGCCCCAGGCAGACGCTGCAGGAAGAAGAGCTCAGACTGCCTGGGTCCGGTGCCCCTGGGGCTCAGCCTGTGCCTGATTGCTGTGCAGGGGCTGAGTCCCACCTCTGCCTCGGGGCCTTGGGCAAAGGGCTGGCAAGGAAGAGGCCCAGGAGCCTTGGGACCTGCCCGGGTTTTCTTCTCCACGTGGGGTGTCAGTCCTCGTCCTACAAGTCGTTGGCTCACGGCCTTGGTGGGTCCTGGCATCATCCCACCTGCCTGACCTCCCTCCCTCACCTCTCGAGCATCCAAGCCAAACTGGGCTGGGCAGCACAAACAGGCCACCCCCAGGGACCCCAGGGGACACTGCCTGTGCCAGGTCTGGGGGAGGCACATCCCCAAATGAAAATGGGAAATGAAAGCCATTTGTTCAGCCTCCAGTGAAAATGCCTGAAGCGAAGTAGGATGAATCCCACACATGGTGAGTTTGGGAAATTGTTACTGTGCCTTGGATCTACACCAGACCCTATTATTTAGGCATTTCTCCACTAACCAATACAGATTTAAGTTTAAACACCTACGCACATTTTAATAAGGTTTATCCCAAGTCTAATATTCTCTCCCTCTACATTTAACACTCACTGACATTAATGAGAGCTGCATGTGTGGGTACAAACTGACTCCAGGCAATTTTACAGCTTGATTTTTTTTAAATGTAATTAGAAAAGCACATTGAAATGCTTAATCTATGTGTTTTGGGAGAAATGCTTAATGGTGTCTAATTAATGCATAAAATTCACATTTAGAAAACCAGTATCCAGGCTCTGCAATAATCAAAATATTTGCAGAAATCTGAATAGAATGAAAAATCAGATTATAAATGCTTTACTGGCAAGCCTTCATGAATATCTTGGTTTGTTTGGGTTTGTTTTTTGAGGGCTTTTTTTGGCATGCTTGCTGTTTGAACCAGAGTTTTGGATACATTTCAGTTTATTAACCAAATAAAAAACTATCTGCAGCTGAGTGAACCACAACTGTATTTGTCTTTTCATGAGGGGCAGGCAAACCTGGAGGCTGTAATTTTGAGTTACTCACTTTTTTCTTTGTAAGAAACCATCTGTGAATGGTGCACAGTATTATCACTGTCAATTTATTTCCCTTATCCCTTTTCTATTTGCGAGTGCATTTACTTAGGGCCTTACTCTGCTAACTGTTACAAGTCTACAAAACTTTAAATTCCCAAAACACAGTGAAGGCCACTCACATAAGACAAGCTGTGTCCTATGCTATTTAGAATTGTTTGTCTTAATGTTACAGAGATGATCTGGCACATACCATGGAATCAAAGCTGTTACAAAGAATGAAGAATTAAACTCTGGGACTAGAAGGATCAGAGAAGGAAAACAAAGTGGAAGGAAAAAGGTTTCTGCAGAGGTGAAAAGAGGAAAGAATAAAATATCTAGTTTGCCAGACTTGATGAGGTGCTGTTAAATACCCCTTCCTGCTGCATGTCTGTTTGACTATTTCGTTCCTTTTGAAAGACTTTATTTTAGTCAATCCCTTTTGGGACTTCATAGCCAAGTCTTTTCCTGGAGTTGGCCCAGAAGGTCAGCTCTTTAAACAGATGTTTTGCAATCTTTAGAGGTTCCTAACCAATTCCAACATGAAAGAGAAGGCAGAGATCTAGGTAGGAAAATAAAATCATACTATACTCCCATTTCTACATCCCAACAGTTATAAACTCAATCTAAATATAGTGTTGTAGGGTCTGACGTTCAAAATTTTCATAATTTCCTTATCAACTTGCTTTACAATACCAGTTTTCCTTTAAAACTTGCAGCTTTTCAGTTTTGTCATTGGAGCTGCAACCTTCAACACTAGTAACACAGATCCTAAACTCCCGTATTTCAGATACACACAACCTCACCATCATCAAAAATGACCATCACTCACCATCATCAGAGATGGTCTCTGCAAAATGCTTCAGGCAGCCTTTTTTTTTTTATTCTCAGGGAAAGTATATGGCATTTGGATGGAATTTGGCTCACTACCTGATGTCAGAGTAAGTTCTGTGATTCACAATTAAGCTTTTGACAGTTACTAATTTTGACATGCAACTCATTGAAACAATAGATGAGGATTCCTACAAGGTTGTATTTTCATGACAGTCTTTTAAACATAAAATATTTTCAGTTATGAAATCCAGTGAATTTACTATCAGACATCAGAAAATCAGAGTAATTTCTGATGATATCCAAACTACCAGATTTGATTTTCAAACACGTTTGACTACCTCATCTTTGCAAATCAAAGGATGTGTTTCCAAGAATAACTTCTAAACCATCCAAACGTTGCTTTGGTACAGTGGCAGCACTGTATATCTTTTTGGAATCATCACAGAAACATTAAGCTTGGAAAAGACCTTTAAGGTCATTGAATCCAACCATCAACCCAGCCACCACCATGTTCACCAGTAAACCATGTCCTCACATGACACATCCACACGTTTTGTGAACATTTCCGGGGATGGCGACTCCGCCACTGCCCTGGGCAGCTGTGCCAATGCTTGACAACATGTGCCATGAAAAAAATTTCCCTAATATCCAACCTGACCCTCCCCTGGCACAGCTTGAGGCTGTTTCCTCTTGTCCTGTCCCTTGTTCCCTGGGAGCAGAGCCTGACCCCTCCCGGCTGCCCTCTCCTGTCAGGGAGTTGCAGAGAGAGAAGGTCCCCCTGAGACTTCTTTTCTCCAGGCTGAGCCCCCCCAGCTCCCTGAGCTGTTCCTCATTGGATTTACCTTCCAGTCCCTTTTCACTGAGTTCTGTCTCTAAGAAAAAAAAAACAAATAAAACCCAAGAAAATAAAATACAGGAAACCCACAGATCCACAGCTGGATCTGTGGATCCAGTGAGTGGCCTACTCCAAAACGTTCTCTGCATTTACCTTTATACCAGGTAAGTCTTCAATAGCTAAGTTCTGACGTTTAGTAGCTATTAAGCAGACATCTATTAGTTATAAAAGAAGATGTGGACACAGTTTTCAAAGAATTCAGCTCTGTTGCTGTCAAGAGCTTGTACAGGCTGGAGGTGAGATCTGCTGCTCTCAGACCCTGCTGGGTTGCCCCCACGCTGCCCCACCATCTGCTGTGCACACAAAGAGTCTCAACAGTTCCTCTCACAGACACCAGTGTCAGGGAGTCCTCAGACACAAGAAACATTGAGCAGACACTGCAGCACCCCAAGTAAGGCCTTGAAAGCAGTTTCCCATGACCCACCTGTGTCACACAAACCCCAGAGCTGACATGAGACCAGTACTCTGACACCAGGCACTCCAGTCACTGCAGGGGCTCTGCCCTGCCAGCTGGCACCACACAGCTGAAACACCTGTAAAGAAGTGCAAGATTTAAGAGTTATAAAGACTAATAATAAAAATAAAAATAAATACCCCCCCCACCAAAACACCAAACTCTACCCCACCAAAAAGATAAAACTCCTTTTTCTTTACTGTCATGAAATAAAACAAACCCTCCTGCAAGTTCAGATGTACAAAGGAAATCTGAACTTGGGTTTCTGCACCAAACCGGAGCAGAATTTATCCAATTCATCATCCAGAATAGGAAAAGGTAAAATACATTTCCCAAGGTATTTTACAGCTTATCCTCCATTTTTTTAATGGCAGATCAGACTAAAGACCTACTATATTCTAACTGCAAGGAAAGACACTTTGAGTTATTTAAATTTTGAGGTTCATTTAAAAATTAATTTCATTAAAGGCATGAAGATAAAGCATAAATAAAACAGAATCTACTTTATAACATACCAGTTCATTTTGCTGCAATATTTGCAGAAAGAACATATTGAAATGCCCTTCCACACTGCTTGAAACCTAATTTTGGACACCAGAGTGAGACAAAATGAGAGCTGTTGCCAGTTCTGGAGTTGGTTTCAGAGCGACTGACCACCAAAGCCTTCGTTTAATTTCAGCAGACTCGTGTTCAGCAGCTCTGAAAATTGGGCCTGAAATGATAGAGACGATTTTGGACCAGGGTCACACCCCTTTCAGTTCCACCCACCAATTCCATTTCCCACACAAACGCCAGGAGGGGAAGGAAGGATTGATTTGGAAGCTTCTAATTGACTTCAGTGGAGCTAGGTCTGGACCCACTGTAAAGTTCCTGAACAGCAGTTCTGGAGCATGAACAGTGCCCAGTGTGCACCACTAATGTTTGGGTGGGGTGGCCAGGCCATGACGAGCCCCAGGGCTGTGGGACAGGGTGGAGGTGCAGTGCCAGGGCCGGCGGGCAGTTGGGCCAGGCCGAGGGCTCTGCAACCGCCCTTGGATGTGGCATCTGAACCTGGCAACTGCCAAAACGGCTGATGGAGACCCGGCAGGTGAGTGGGAAAGGTGCAGCTCTCCCTGTGCCATGCCCAGAGGGGGTCTGGGTGGGATTGGGCTGTCCCACAGGGAATGGCTCCCTTTGGGAAAAACAGGGTATTCCCAGTTTGCTGTTCCTGAGCTGGTGGCAGCTTTGGTGCTGGGAGTGGGGACAGAGCTGGGAGGGAATGGAGGGCACCTTCATGCCGGTGGTGGGCAGCTCTTCATTTCATCACAGTGCTGGCTGGAGCTAGTGTTGGTGGGATCAGCAACTCCGGCAATGGAATCCCCAGAATGCTGTTTGCCCCAAACAGTCACCTTGGTGACAGAACCCCCAGAATGCTGCCTGCCCCAAACAAACCCCAAACTGGCCAAGCAGCATGGCAGGTACAGCAGCAGGTCCCCACTCCTCCCGGGAGTCCTGCCCTCCAGGTATCCCCAACTAGCTACGCCCCCCAATATCTCACCTCATCACCCCTTTTTGCTTCCCCCAACAGAGAGGTTCCCCCTCCAGGTGACAGTGTTGAAGGTGGCCAGCGTGAGCTTCGCTGCCCTCGCCAAGCCAGCCCTGGGAGCTCCCTGGGAGCTGCCCTCTGTCCCAGGGCTGCCACTGTACTCTGCCCCTGTCCAGCTCCACACCAGCACCCACCAGTTGGTCCCAGTCACCGTCAGGCAGGAGGTCCCAGAGCCTTTGGGGGCCCCGGGGCAGGTGTTGTCACCTTCCCCTGTGGTGCAGCTTCCCTGGCCAGTGCAGCTGCCTCCCTGTCCTTCTGCCTATGGTTGGGGACAGCAGCTGGTGACGGGGGCGCTTCTGCCCTACCAGCCAAGGGCTGTGGTCCAAGGAGAGCCCCTGTACCCCACGGGCTCTGGTGTGTTGTGTGTCCACCACCGACCTGCCCTGGCAGGCAGAACCACGATGGAGCCCAAAGGTGAGTTTGGGGGGTAGCAGAGCCCATGGGTAGGCAGTCTAGCTGAGGAAAACTTCAATCTCCTGGGGTTCCATTTTCAACAGTGGTTACCACCCCTGGTCCAAGGAAGCCCACGGATCTGCCTGAGGAGGGACCAGCCACCAGCACAGAGGCCATTTCTGAGCAGGCAGAGGACATCATCAACCACCACCACCTCACCCAGCCTGAAACCCCAGCGGGTGAGGACACCATTGTCAATGCCCCCAACAGCCCCACCTTGAGTGAGCTCCTGGACGACCTCTTTGAGTACCTGGCGGACAGTGGCTGCCCTGAGGAACAAGTGGAGGTGGCTCAAGAGGACAGTGAGGACACCACCTTGGCCGCCAACGCCCCCAGCCTGACCGCTGAGGACCTCGACGAGCTCCTCGAGTTCTGTGAATGCCTGCTGGAAGACGACTGTCCCAAGAAGCCAGCAATGGAGGCACAGCAAAGGAACAGCGAGGATGCCGTACCCACCACCCCCAACTTGACCCCCTCCCTCAGCCCACTCAGTGACCCCCGGCCTCCCTTGCCCTGCATGGCCCAGTTGGGGGAGGAGACAATGCAGAAGCAGCCCCAGGTTGTTAAGAACCACTTGCAGCTGCCACCAGGCATCACCACCATCCAGGCGGACCCCAAAACAAGAGAGGTGGCAGCAGCCAGGCCCCGTGCTCGGCGCCAGCCAGCACCTCCACGGAACAAGGGACCTCCTCGCAGGGCCACATCCCGGCCGAGAAAAAGACGACGACAGCGGTGACGCAGCACCCAGACCAGAAGACACCCTGAGCCAGTGACCTGCATCCAGGCCCCCAGGCTCAACCCTCTCCCACATCCCTCATTCTTCTTTAGTTCATTAAAGAGTGGTTTTGCAGTTCCCTTCTCTGTCTTGGGTCGTTTGGGCAGCGGGAGGGGGGCAGTACCTCAGTGCAGCCCCTGCCCACCCTGTGGGGGACCGGGCTGGACTGGGCATGATCACCCAGAGGATGGCTCAGCATCGCCCCAGGTGCTGGGTGCCTGTGGGAGAACACAGAACTGTTGCAAAAAGTTGACTTATCTGCTATACCTTAGAGGCAGGTAGAAGGAATGGGGTATAGGCAAGAGCAAACCACATTCCCATCACTGGATAAATCCAGATTTTGTTTAGAGTAAGTGCTATAATAACCACTCCTCCCCAGTTAGGGACGTTTCCAAGCTGAGAGTAGACACCTAATTATTCTTTTAAGCCAATAAATTTCGAGCAACAGAAATCAACTGTCCACAAAGACAACACAGCAGCATGCTGCTGAAATAAGCAATGAGCTCCAGATACAATCTCTGCTCTCCAGGTGGACATTTTATTTTCTTCTAACTTATCTGATACACTGCAGGCCAGTTCCCAAGGCAGCCACATATGTTGCTGCAAAAAACCCCAAATGACCTCCAGCCTGGGAAGCCTATATTCCAGGACAGAGGCCACCAAATTTACAGACTGCTGTTAAAGAATAGCAGTGCAACATCCACAGCAAATTATTTTGCTGGAAATGTGTCTTTATAATGCAGTAGTGAGAAAGCTTCTCCTGCAAATGTGCATCTATGATTGGATAATACATATTGTTATGGGTTTTAAGATTTTTTTTTTAAGTCTCTGAATAAAGCACGTTTTTCCTGTTACAAGAGCACTAAAAGGTCTATGGCAAGTTTACACACTGTAGGAACACTACTCTCCCTCTCAGGTATTGCACAAGGCATCTGTCTTCAACCTGTCTTGTCTCTGCCATTCCCTCAAAAATACAAAAAAGCTTATCAAAACATTTTGTCCCCAAAGTGCACGTACCAAACACACTATGACAGCTAGTTCACTATTCTGTTGCTTTCCAGGTAGAAAGCATTCAGATACTTTTAGAGGTTTATACTGCCTCTGATGAGAAGTTCATTTCTTATATGCCAGAATCTTTCCTAATGAGAGGAAAAAGGATTAAAAACAGAAGAGTATTTAAGGGAAGCAGTTCTGTGTGTGAGAACAGCAGCTGACTGTGAGGAACACCAGACCCTGCAGTGCCAACAAGACAGAGAAGCTGAGGTGGAACTCAAATAAGAATCCAAAGTATGACTAAGAAACAGAACAGGAGCAACAGTAATTGCAATAAAACAGTGAATGTAAACAACTGCTAAAAGCTGTGCATGTTCTATAGACTTTTATTACATATATCTCTGAATTACCTCAATGGCAGCAAACGTGCTGCACTGAGCATCAGAGAACACCACTCCTTCTTATTTTATTTGTTATTCCAGCTGTCCTTCCTCTTCCCCAGCAGCACAGAAACTAATGCTCTCTATCAGGCATTATTATTCAGAATATTATTGCATAAAGCACATAAAACACTTCTATTGCTGTTAATATCTTTATGCTCACTCTTAAATAAAATCTTACAATAATTAAAAGATTCATTTTCCATTGGTACCATCTGTTTTCATCACCACCCTTCTTATTGCCATTTTTGGGTAGAAAAGACAAAGATTCTGTTCTCAAGTGCATTGGTCTCATCCCTAATAAAATTCAATTCTATCTTCATTAAAATTACATGAGAGTAAAGGAGGTCAAGACGTGGTGAGCTCCAATTGTTTCCTGAATGAAAAGTAATTTTGCAGTTATTGTCAAAATAAATTATACACAAGTATAATCAAAGTTAATTGAAGAACACTGCATGGTTTGAGCTCATTAAAATCCTCACAAACGCCTACATGAAACATACTGCTTGGTAGTTTAAAGAAAAAAGTGTCTTCTTTTCCCTTGCAAAAGGCTATTAATCCAAGTGAGAACTCCTCAAAGATAAATTAATAATACTCAGAGCAGCTTCTATGGTCCATAGAGGTAGCATGTGAATTAATCCCCCTCCCTGGAACACGGTGATATCAAACCTGTTGACATAATCAATTCTGCATTTCAAATGAAATGCTGGTCACACACAAGCCACCAGCAGCTGCAGCACTCAGGGCTGTGGGACCTCACACGCTGTAAGACCCCGGCCACGGAGCCACAACCTCAACCAGGAGGTTTACTTTTAAAAATATACAAGGCTCCAAAATTTCACCCACCGAACTTTTGCAGAGCCTTCAGTGCTTTAATTCCTTGAGGTAGTGTAAAGATAATACGATGCACATGTTTTCTCAGGAGACACTTCTACTTTTAAAATATGGGAGAAAATAAGGATCTTCACTAAAGTTCAAAAGGGTGACATGCAACCAAGATAGGGCACTTCACAAAGATATTATTTAGCACACAACTTAGCAAAAACCAACCCACTCGGTTTTAAGTTATGCAAGATATTAAAGACACAGTAAAGAAAGAGATTAAGAGAAGAAAAAGGAGTAAAGATAGAGAAGTAATTTTCAACTGCAAACCTACCTAAACCCTCAGAAATTTCCTCCTTTGTTACCTTCTCTTTGAATACTTTGTATCAAAACTATTAATTACCTTTAGCCTGAATTTGTAGCAGTTTAACCTCCTGTGATCTTGAGAGACTAGACACACCTCTCCTCTGCCTGAAATCACCTGTTCTGTAGAGGTTATGACCTCAGAGACAACAAGGGAGTCCTCCGAAATTAGCTGCCAGAAAATAAGCAGGTTTGGGATTATATTTATTTCGCCATTAACTTTCTTACCAGGTACAGGACGATCCCAACACCACCAAAAAGCAAGCACAGGGGACCTCATCACCAAGTGCAACAGTGAGCACACACAGGGTACAACAAAAACTGCGTTCAGACTTCCTTTAGTAACGCAGATATGAACCAAGAGGCCATAATCTGACCACTAGGTGTTATTTAAGCCTTATTACCTCTCCTTAGATATGGGCTTTTAAAAACAGGTAATGTTTCCAAAGAGCTTTAAACATCAGCACCTGTTTTCAACAGGCCCACACAGCTCTTTGCTGGTATACACTGAGCAGTATGATCCTGCTGAAAACGTTCAAGAGCAGCCACAACCAAAAGAATGGCTGAGTACTCATCACAGCCTGCCTGACTTCGCCCCAAGTGCCTACAGCTTTACCAGGTCCTGACCTTCTGCAGGTGTTCCCACTCAGTAACCATGCAAAATAAAAAGAGGTTTTGCAATGTAGTGACCAGAGCTCACCTGTGGCTGCAAGTCACAAACAAAGAGCTGACTCAATATGATTTCTGAAGCATAAAAATATCATTTTCTAAAACAGCGTACCAGAATATAAAGGGAAAAATAAGAATACGAACCAAAAAACATGGTTTCCTTTAAAAATACCAAAGTAAAGAAACTTTGGTTTGGAGCTGTCCCTCTCTGAAGGGCTTGTTCTACAAGAATCTTTTTCATAA